TTTCTCTCACTCTCTTCCTTTCCTGCTTTCTCACACATTTTCTTGCACACACCTACCAAGAATTTTGCCACCTTGCTCTTTGATGCGTTGTCTCTTGCGTGATGTAAAATAAATTGACATTTAGTTGTCAATGTTGTCACCCTGCCACCCTGCCCCTTCCCGCTGCCTTGGGCAATCTCAGCTGCAGGTGTCATCACGTGTTAATGGATAGTCAACGTTCCCGACTCCCTCGCAGTGTGCTTGCATATTTAAATTTTCGTTTCGTCAAAGCTGCGCAGACAGGCAACATGCCTGGCTAGAGAGCTTCAGCTTTAGCTTCCAGGTGCACCGGCTACGGCCACGGTTAACAACGAGGCATTTTGACACCACGCCATGTTGACACATTTTGGGAACTCGGTCTTAAGGGCCGTGTGATGAATTTACCGCACATGTCAGTCCCCAGGCGGTTTGCTGCGCTGCTCGACTTTGTACTCGCTGCTGTGATTGCAATCTCACATTGCGCGGGCTAGTTGCGAAAATTGTATATACATGTGCAGATACCCTGTATATGTGTGGAAAGTTTCCTTTATCATAAAAGTGATTTTTATGATAAAATTCTTAGTCGTATATGCTTCCACCAAAGAGTACTCTACATATATTAGGTACATTTCAATTAAGTTTTATTTCTTTTCTTTAAGTGTTGTTTGAGCCAAATAAAGGCATTCTTGTAAGTGTCTGTTTGTGAGGCGCTTGCCATTTAAGAAAATGCCTTATGGGAAATTCTCTTTATCGTTACAAACACTTTTCATCTGCTATTCATATGCATTTTGCCCGACCCATCTCCTGGGGCCTTGTGTGCTGTTACCAAAAGACTTGGCCAAAATTAAAGTTGATGCATATTCAGACCACAAAATACAGTGGAATTCAGTTTTGTTAAGTCACATGTATTAAATTCCATACGATTCGAAAACATGTGCAAAATATTAATTTAAAAATGTATAAAGTTTATACAAAATATATTTAACACTACAAAAATCGTTGTCTCTAATGGGCATTAAAATATGAACTTAATTGTTAAAATGAGTATATCAATTTTTGTTTAGTATTTGCATCCAGCTTTAAGCACTATTTCGCTGTTTAAGTTGATGGACATATCCAGCACTTGTGCTGAGCAAATGTTCATTTAGCCAAGCATTTGCCATGAATACTCAACTAGCTGACAAGCTAATGCAATTAAGCCCAATCCAATTTGTATTTTTTCTTCAGCTCAGCAGCCCTGGCTGTCTCTTAGCCTTTCCATAATTTTGTTGTATAGTACCCGTTGCTAATTCCATTACGAAAACTGCAAGTTTGTTAATATTACCTGCTGCTCTGTTGGTTACCCTTTAGCCCCGCGCCCCCACTCCCAGATAGCTTCACGTACAAACATACACACCCAGTTGCTTTGGCCAACAACTTTCGTCCTAATAACCTTTGCAGCTCATATAAGGAGCGGCTTAATGTGTTTTTGTTTAGCATAAGCAGCCAAAGCATTGCCCCCATGTTAGCTGTCAGACCCAGCCCCAGACCCTACTCCCACCAAAGACTTCCATTAGCAGCATCAAAGTACAGCCAGCGCACTTAGCATAATAGCAAAGCCAAAATCGAGAAGCGCTCGACGATAAATTGGTCGAAACACGGTTTCTCTTATTTCGGCTAAGAGAGAGCGCTTCGGCGAGCCTTAAGAGCGAAAGCTCGCGCGGCGTGCAACAGGCCGTCGCGACTTTGGCTCCTTTAACCCCCGATTTGGTTTTGACAAACGTGTTTTGATTTCGCCTAGCAAAAGTTCGCCTAATGCTGAAATAGTGCCAAGAAAAGTGTGAAACAAAGAAACTGAAATTTACTTTAATGTGCCAACAATTCAGCTTGAGAATTTACGATAATTGCGACAATTACATTCTACAAATGATGCTGCAAACAAGTGAAGGGAATCAGCACACAGTTTAGGGCCCGCGCGCCCGCTGCACTCTATGACAAATAGTTTTCAGCCCCCGCGCCCTAGCCGTCCCTCGTGGCTATAAAAGCAAATTGAAGCCATTGACTCGAGCAAATCTTGGCTGGCATTGCATTAGCTTGGCTTGCCCTTCAAGGTTTTATAAATTTCAATTTGTTAAATGCTTGGCATACTTTGGGGCCTTGCACAGCGCTCGGCAGTCGTAGCAACATCTACGCAGCTCTCTGACTACAATCGTAATCAGCGACATTAGTTTATCTTGTCTAGAATGTGGGCTTGAGGGTGCATAATTAGGTTCGAGTTGAAGCTGCTTTTGGTGTGGCAACAAGCTCTTAAGTGCGAGTGAATCTAGAAGAATTTCATATTCAGCAGAACTAAGCACAAAATACTTAAAAAAATTTGAATTGAAAGAGAAAAAACTAGAATATATTTAATAAATTGATGACGTGAAATAATATTAATAATAAATAATTAGTTATAAAAACTGGCCAGCTAAAAAATAATAGCTATGATTCTAAGTCATGTGTAGAAATTATAAGAATTCGTGTATTGTGTACTCACTTTGAAAACCGCATTAAACTGCCTTGCAGGTGCAAGCGGTACCGCATCTTCTAATTAATCTGCTTTTCTTATTTTTCAACCGATAATGTCCTTCTCGTATTTACACTGCTAGGTCCTCGGTCTGCTTCTCATAACTTTATTTAAAAACAAGCACGAACAAATTAGTTGACCGTGTGCACGGGGCGAGCCTGCGGCTTCAACTGAAACGCAGCTGCGGCGGGCAGCCTTATTTATGCTGCTCATTCTTCTTCTTCGTGCTCATCATGCATGATCATGATCATGATTATGCATGATTTGCTTTCATATTTTGATTTCAGCACACATACACACAATTATTAGACCATCTGCACTTGGCGAGTTCGCGGCTTCAACTGAAACGCAGCTTCAATGCACTGCCATATTTATACTACTTGCTCTTCTTCTTCGAGCTTGCATGTGTGATTTGCTCTTCACTATTGTATACAAGCGCTCGTTTGATCGATCTATTTAAATCAAAATTATGTACAAAAATAAAAAAAAAAAAATTAAAATGTTTTATAGCTAAAATTAAACAAACAAAAATCCTAGCATTCAATTTTTAATTTTTTGAATAAAATAAATTAGCAAGTGTTTTTAACGATCTGTTAAAAATTGTAGAGGCATGCCTTTGTTGTTTGTACATAATAAATAAAATATGATTGCGAATAATATAATAAAACTGATTGATTGATTGCTTGACTGATTGGTTTTTAACACATAGTCTAACCCGTAAAAGCTAGTAATCAGAGATTCTTCTTTGATTGGTAGAAAATGTTTTTTAAATATTTGGATTCCAGCCCATTCCCAATGATATTTTTGACTTCAAACGCAATTTAAAATATATCCTATGAGAATTAAATTCACCAAGATCGGGAACATGACTGGCAAAGTAATGTCACTGTTATAAAATATAGAACTTCGTTTAATATTTAAAGTTTTTGAATTATATATCTTTGCTATAAAAACAGTGTAAAATCATTGTATATACAAAATTGTGAACATGGCCGTATAATTTTACACATCATTTATATTATATTAATAGAAAATTAAATTAGCGCACACCCACACATACGCACAGAGACATACAACGATAACACATAATTATTGCGTGTCATTTTTATTACTCATACGACATGTTGTGCACACAAACATACTCCACATATATGAATCATAGCCAATTCAACTTACTGCTTTGAATTTTGTATAATAATTTGGCACGAGCACATACTCCTAATCATAATCATAATCATAATGGGCATATCACGCCTTGTAAATTAATTTAAATTAGAACACAACAGTCATATAACCAAATTAACTGAATTGCAAATGCCCCAAAAAGCAGCTGAAATTAAAATTTAAGGCATTTGTTTACAACCAACAAATCGAACGATTTGTCAAGTTTTGCAACAAATTTGGTGTTGATTTTTACGTGTGTTTTATTGCATTGCGGTTGGCACTGCAAATTGTCAAGCCACAGCAATTTATCGGCTTCACCGACAATTGCATTATTAATGGCAGCTTAGACCACATGCAGTGGACAAAGGGTCCGCACACGTTTTAAGGACCTTCCCTTACCCAACTGGAACCAATTGCTCTCTGCAGGAGACCGGGACGAGAGCATTCGCAGCAGCAACCACAACAATAAACCAATTTAAAGAAACCTTATACACACAGCTTTATAATGGATTATATGTGTATGTGCGGATTGTATGGGTAGCTGCTGCTTGGGTGTCTGCATGCTGCTTGACGAATCATTGAGAAATAATGAACAAATTCCAAATCAAAATACAAAACAATTTATATAGGAATTTATACTTAAACAAAGGAAATGCTTTAAAATATATTCATTATTATTTCAAACTTAGCTGCATTTATTTTAATTTATTTTATTAAGAACTGTGTTTATGTTTGAAATAGATGTGTGGAAATATCTATTGCTATTGGTTATTAATTTCAATGGTGATACGATAAGGATTAAAGTGAAACAAATTAATGCTGGATTAAATCCAAGTATATTGATAAGCCACAAAATTGTCTTACAAGAAATTTATTGTCGACCGAACATTCCTTTGTGAGCCATACGTAGTAATAATCCGATTGGGGCAGGCACTTTATAAGTAAATAATAATAATACCTTCAAGGGTATAGAAACAAGGAAAACAAATGAATAAAAATGATCCACTAGTAAAATGCATACGAAAGCATTTAACATTATCAGCAAATGCTAATTGCATATATATACAACATTAACAACGAACACTACGTCTCGGCAACTGCAGCAAGGCATTGTTATCAGCATCAGTATATGGGGCTATAATAAAAATAAATCAGAATCAAAGCTCATTATCTTCACATTCCGCAAAAATCCCTTGAGAAATATCATCTGATTTTTCCTATAAAATAACTCTGTGCACCTAGCTGATGCTCAGTTCCCAAAAGACATTCAATCCCGCCAGGCATTTTTCCAATGGATCACAACGCTTTGGTATACATGGCTATCGCCTTGTGCTACTTCATGGTGCTTCAGGCACCAGTCGTCCAGTCGGAGTGCTGCGTCGATGCAAAGAAAATCGACTACACTGTGGTGGATGGGACATGCGCATCGGCAGGGGGAAAAGCATCCGATAACGGCAAATGTGTTATCACCATATGCGGCAATGGAGAAGCTCTCAGAGGCACTTACTGTGGCAGAGGATCATGCAACGTGCTCGGCTGCAATTGCGACGGCGGTTGCCTTGGCTCTGGTTGGGAAGAAACTTTTCTTCAAAACGCAGCGCAGTACAAAGTTTCCCTCTTGGGATGGTCATGGACAAGTCTATCTGCAGCAGAGCGAGTTTATGAAGGAGGATTGAAGATCTTGGACGAAGCTAAGATAAATGTAGGTTGACTTAACAGAATTCTGCATTAGACATGCGATAGGAACTGAAATTGAGTTCGACTTAAATAGAACAACTGAATATTTTCGTTGCATTGACATTGTACTATCAGCATTATGAAAATACAATTTTTTAATATAATATTATCAACCCAAGCACTATAATGCAATGAGAATAGCACAATAAATGTGTTAAGTTCATAATATTTGTGTCCAAATAAAAAACCTAAATATATTCTATTTAGTGCCCGACTAGAAGATACCCCGAGCCTTCCAGCTTCATCGTATAATAATACAGAAGTTTCAAGCGTCTATAGTCAAGTCGGAGTGCATAGTGGTGGATGGGAGATGCTCATCAGCTGTGGGAAAACATCCGATTAAGGCATTTGTGATATCACCAAGCAAAAGCGCTCAGAGGTACTCACTGTGGCAAGAGATCGTGCAACACGTTCGGAAGAACGTTTTCTCCAAGTCTACCAAAAGTACACAGTTGGGATCTTGGCATGGTCATGGATAAATCTATTGCAAGCAGGTAGAGTTTTTGATGGTGGGCTGAAGATTTCGGCCTCGGTTAGATTTAAAATTTTAAATATATGTGATAAGAAGCAACGATATAATGTGACTTAAGCAAAATAGAAATATATAATACTTTTGACTCTAGTCGGGAGTTGCCAACTGGGGGATACCCAGAACCCTCTTCTACCAAAAAGAAATGCAATTTAAAACTATAAGACTAGTTCGAATAGAAACACACAGACGTACGGACGGACAGACTGACATGGTATATTGTCTTGTTCGTTGATACTAATACGGAATATGTATACTTTTTGGGGTCAGAGATGTCTAATAATACCCAGTGCAAGGGTATAAAAAACGAATTAAAATACACACGTCACAGAAAACAAAATCGCATTTCAAATGCTGTTGATACTTAGAATGCGATAAAGAAGCGCGTGAAGGTGTGTGCGCACATGTATAAAGAAATTCTTGCAACTTGCGCCCGCCAAAACACGCTTTCTTTCTTCTTTAATAACTTTTGTGCTTCTAAATCGATCTTGACATCTGTCCAGGGCAAGCTCGCGGCTTCAACTGCAACGCAGCTCCAGCGGGCAGCCCTATTTATACGTCTGGCGCTTCTTCTTTCGAGCTTACCTGTATGATCTGCTCTTCATAATTGTAAACAAGTTTGACTGTTGGCTCGTTTGATTGATGAAACTTTTAACCAAAATTATAAAAGTGATAATTATTAAAAAGCTGAAAATGTTTTACAACTACAAGAAAGTGAACAATTAATCTTGCATTACACTTTTTGATTAAATAAATTTGCAAGTTAGTTTTCAAATCTTCTAAAATGTAGAGGCATACAGTTAATATAATTGCGAATACTTTTTATATAAATAAGACTTATTGACTGATTAATTGATTGATTGGTTATCAACACTTAGTCTAGGCTTGAAAAATCACACAGCTTGAAAATCTCAAAAAATTATAGTTCGGCTTAAGAAAATAATTCGTTGTCGCTGAATAATGTTAGCAACATATAATTATGGATGCGCGCTTTGGTAACATGTCTACAAAACGCTTGCAACGTTTTTTTCCAAGCCCATGTTGCCTTATTGCTAAACGTCGTGACAGCGCAATTGTCCGGCTAAGTAGAGTCTGATAAGCGTTTGTTTTATTTTTGTTGTTGGTGCCGCACCAGAAAGCTTGAGTCGGTTCCGACAACCACTATAAAGAGTATTTCCGACTTGCTATTCGAGCTTCGGGTAATGAGTTGCACCCACATCGCGGCCAACTATCCACAAAAACGCTCGCCCAATCGTGATCAGAACCCACAACCCCGATGCACGGGACAAATCACGCCAAGCTTTTCGTGAAATGAATTTTAGCCATTTAAATGTCAATAAATCTGGAAATTATATTATGTATATCCATGCGTTGCAAATGTATAATGTTTAAAGAAGAATCAGAAGTTTACGCTAATTATGCGCACTAGGATCATGGTTGGGTAAGGTAGGGTAGCGCTCTTTAGCGCCATTAATATTATATATATAAGTAGCAAGAGGTCTTATTTTAAATGTGTGTGCGTATGTAGACATTTGACCTATCAGCACATGCTAATTGCACATTTAAAACACACAATTATCAAGAAATATACAACAATAATAACAAGCACAGCGTGTCGGCAACTGTTTATTCCATCAGCATCTGCTTATCTCCACATTTCACTGGAATTCCTAGCAAAAAATGTCATCTGCTATTCTGCTATAAAATAACTCTGTGCACCTAGCTGATGGTCAGTTCCCAGAAGACATTCAATCCCGCCAGGCACTTTTCCAATGGATCACAACGCTTTGGTATACATGGCTATCGCCTTGTGCTACTTCATGGTGCTTCAGGCACCAGTCGTCCAGTCGGAGTGCTGCGTCGATGCAAAGAAAATCGACTACACTGTGGTGGATGGGACATGCGCATCGGCAGGGGGAAAAGCATCCGATAACGGCAAATGTGTTATCACCATATGCGGCAATGGAGAAGCTCTCAGAGGCACTTACTGTGGCAGAGGATCATGCAACGTGTTCGGCTGCAATTGCGACGGCGGTTGCCTTGGCTCTGGTTGGGAAGAAACTTTTCTTCAAAACGCAGCGCAGTACAAAGTTTCCCTCTTGGGATGGTCATGGACAAGTCTATCTGCAGCAGATCGCGTTTATGAAAGCGGACTAAAGATCTTAGACGAAGCTAAGATCGGTTAGATTTGCGCTGACAACAGAATTCTGTATTTTATAGACACGCGATAAGAAACTGAAATTGAGTTTGACTTCCATATAACAATTGACAACAACAATAATATTGTTGCATTCACATTGTACTAAATATATAAAACTTTTGATTATCAGCATAATACAAAATATATCTTTTAATTATAATATTATCAACCCCTGCTTTATGAATGAGAGAATGACCAAAAATGTGTTGACTTCACTTTTCTAGCCATTTCCCACTGTAGGAGCACTTAAATCTTCTTCTTTGTTCGCCGTAATCATGTCCTTGATGCTGGCAGCAAGTGGTACTCTTGGCAACATGTTGAAAATTCCATTTTTTTGTCAAGCACAAAGGCAGGAGAGCTGAGCTGATCTGAAACCCAACCACATGCTAGGCAAATGGTCTGCTCGCCATATGCATATACACGCACAAAGTACAAAAATACATATTGTATTTATGTGTATATCGTCGAGGTATACAAGTATGAGTACAGTCCACTAAGCATTAGTCCGCATCTCATGGCCGTCGTCCTGTTGACCACCTCTGGCGCAATAAACGGTAGCACAGCTTGCAATGCCACCAGGCAATCCAGCTGACCCCTTTCCGCCTCCCGCTTCTTGTTTCTCTCTCCTACTGCCTCTGTTATGTGGCCGTATTCCCTGTTTGGCTCTGCAACAGACGCAATTGGCAGCCATTGTCAGCGGGACTCGCTGACCACACACAACAGTTCCAAGAATCATTAGCAGAGTCAGGGTGTTGTGCAAATTTGTATGCGCTGCGAGTGAAGCTGTTGTTGACGCTTGAAAGGCCAGAGAATTCTAAAGAATTGCAAACTTATCAATAACATAGTTAGGTATGCCAATATTTAACTATGTTTCAAAGTGGAACCCAACAATAACTGCAATTTAACATAAAATATTCAGATGACCTGAAGAACTTTGCCATAAATAAAATGTCGCAATTATGTGTATATTTCTGCTTTTAGTGGATGATTATTATTCTGATTATCTTAAAAGGTCAGCTGACCAATGGAACTTCTTTGCTTTTCATTTACATTTGCCTTAAAGAAAGCTTATTATTCCCTTTATTCTATTTGAATTGACAAGTCTGTCGGGATGCTCATCAGGGCCGTTTCAAGTTAGGCATAAAATAAAAACTATTGCATATTCTGGGAGGTGTCTAGAGACGACAGCACTCAAGTTGCTGCAAGTCGCCTTCCTGACCGCCTGTCTGCCTCTCTGCCTGCGTTCCTTTGCCTTTGTGGTAATTGGTATTTTTATTAAGAGGACTTCTTCCTTTGGCAACGAGCAGTGTTCAGCTCTTGAGCTGATGAATTTAAGACTTTAAATGCTTTCAGCTCTGGTGCTTGCATATAATTTGCATTAAATTGCGTGGAAATTGATTTTTGTACATTTTCAATATTTTGTTTTGCACTGCGAAACGAGAATTTTATGCTAAGCCAGGGCACATGTATTAATAGCTTAGAGCTAAACAGCCCTGGAAGTATGCCCTCTGCGTTGGGAATAATAAATGTGAGCCGAAATGAAATTATGTCTAGGGAACGTCAACGCTCGGGCATATTGAATCGTAGGGCACACACATTCAAATCACGCATACGCCGCGTGTGTTATTTGTTGTTGGTTTTTATTTATGTATTTTTTTTTTTTTTTTTGCTGGCCTAGCCTGACAGCTGTCAGCACTACGCATCTCTCAATTTGCCTATCTCTCAAATCAATTTATGCTGTCACATAATTATACAGTCGCTGGAGGGCTGAATCAATTAAAATAGCGTCTGGCTGCATACAAAAAAAAAAATCAACATTGATTTGCAAATTGAAAATCTGCTCCTGCTGATGTAAAGCATAAGCTTCTACACGCAACGAAAACTTAATTTCCCCCTTGGTAAATCTTTGCATTCGCCAAGAAATCACTTGGTAGAAAGCTTAACTGTTTGCGTTTTGAAAATTTCAACGAATCCGCTTGCAGCATATGCAACATCCACAGCATTGTTTGGCCACGTGCCCAGGTGCCGCTGCCACATCAGTCGCTTCTAGTGATTTCCGTCCCAAAAGCCCTGACAGACATTGCCTTTGCCACATACCAATGAGGCGGGCATACAGTTAACTGGGCCATGTTCTGTGCCTGCCAAACACGCAATGCGCATTTTAAGTACAATTTAAGCACATTTTCAATGTGGAAACAGACAAACATCTGAGCAGCATGTGTCGGCTGGGAGGCACCACAAACTATGGAGAATGTGTCATTCGAACTGAATGTTCAGCAATGTTCCATGTGAACAACTGAAACCTAGTTTGGCACAGAGGAAAACAAATGACAGACGCTCCACAGATGCGCTCTCTACTTGTCTAATATGTACCTGTTCAAGAAAACGCCGAAAGTTTGAAGCTTGGGTAGTTTTTTAGCGTAACGATGGGAAACTGTCGAGAGGAAAAATTAAAGCAAACAAATAGTAAACAAGTAACATGACGAAGAGATGTTGTTTGCTTTGATTTATCAAAAATATGACAAAAATTCAATCGACAATATGTGCAGAAAGCAAACCAACTTTAAGCTCTGCAGCTTATTTGTATTTAATCAAAATATATAAATATATAAATAAGCTTTATTACGTGGCAGACCCTACGTGACGCATATTAACTTAATTTCCTTGGCATAAATCATACTTTTTTATCTGAATAAATTGGTTTTGTCCATCTGCATAGTATATAAATTAAATGTTATTAAAAAATAATTTACTTTTTAATATGAGAGCAAACTTATAGTAAATTGTTTATGCTTTAGTTAATAATATTGTGTCGTTTACTTATATTTTCTTTGTTTGTGTTGTTTGTTAAAAATTACTTTTCATATTTTTATTTTCCTAGTTAAGTTCGACACTTTGTTAATATATATTAATAAATATACAAAATATGTGTTCTATTACATTTAGAACTTTCAAAGAACTACAAGTCGTTCGAGAATGCCAAAAAATAATAGACTGGGCTTTATGTTGAGCGTTTATAATGCCAACCTTAAAGCCTTCAATGATACTGTCTCGGTTCTCGGTTGGCTTAGTTAGCCGTTGCGCAGCTTAATTGCAAGCTGGGCACTTGAAGCAAATTAAAATTTAATAGACTTCAGAATTGGCAACTCTTTTAAGCCAATGTCTTGTGTAAAATTTTAATTGAGCTGCCTGCCTTGATTAATTGACAAATACCAACCAGCCAGCAGCCAAAAGTTCTTACTCCACCGTCAACCTCCCAGGTACAGATTCGTGTGTAACCCACCTTAATGACAGCCACAGGTGCGATGTTTGCCAGGCAAATTAAACCTTATACTATACACGTTTTTGCCAGCGTTGGCATGCATTCGTTTAATGGCCAGTTTTCAAATTAGCAGCTCATTTAAGAAGCAGAAGACAGCAGGCAGCTGGTTTAAAAAACACTTTAATTTTATGCCTGAGTAATGCCCATAAATAAGCCAAAAAGGGTCGCATAAATTTGTGCGCAACCCTTGGCTACAAATTTTCGGTTTGCAGTTCGATTAGATCGGTTTGTCTCTGTGTACAAATGGCTGTCGAAATGCGTGAAAGTTTCAAAGTTCTTGAAATGTGTTCAAACTAAAATACTGCTCGTTGCTCAGCTGAAAACATAAGCCATGTTCGCTGTCCGATTCGAATGCTGTGCAAACTTTGAACTGGCTACGGATTCAATGAATTTATTCATTAGTTCGCTTTGATATGCACTTCACCGCCCACCGCCCACCGAACCCGCCGTCCCCCTCGCCCGCACCCGCGCAGTCGCCTGGCTACACAGAGCAAACTTAAATGCTATTCGCCACTAGACAGCACTTCACACTGGTACTAAAATGTGTAAATAGTGCATTTGGTATAACTAAATTGATAACGAATTGATTCAATTTCTTGTTATTTCAAAAGATAATCTACCCAAAAGCTTGTTCAATAACAACATACATTTTGTTGAATATCTTTTTCAAAACTTATTGGGATTTTTGGAATATAAAAAGGATAGAATTTATGTTTCAGAGTGTATATCAATAATAAATTCATAAGCAGGCTGTTGAGCCTGAACTTTAACTTCTTTTATTTTAATCAACAGACATTTCCTGTTTTCCATTTGACATTTAAATTAATTCTTAAGCTTTTAATTGTGAATTTTAAACTAAAATATTCAACTACTTGTCTTTTTGTAAACTATTTTGTACACTTTGCTCCCAGTGTGCAGGCCGAAAGAAAGCATGTGTATTGGCAGCGTTCAGCAGCATGCAACCTGTGCTTAGCTACAAGCAGCCACACACACTCGAAAACACACACACACACACACACACACACAAGGACACAGCCGCGCACACATGAGTTGCCAACTTAAAGGCTTAGAGGTGTGCGAACCTGGGCCCAGCTAATGCGATTTATTTTTATGGTCAATTTGCTTGATTAGGTTTCGATTTTCATGCGCCCGCTGCACTCGCCGCGTTTGCAATCGAGTTCATTAAAGTTGCGCAGCAACAAAGTTTATTGAAATACGGCTTCCCAGCAACCGTAGCAGCAGCAGCAGCTGTGAAAGGACCCAACTTTTCAGTCGTTCGACAGTGGGTGCCTGTTAATAATGCGCCAAATGGAAAATTAATTAATATTTTCCTAGGCGAAAGCAACAAACAACAACTATAACAACAATTGTGGTGGCTAACTGTATTCAAGTCACTCCCTCTCTCTCTCTCTCTCTCTCTCTCTCTCTCTCTCTCTCTCTCTCTCTCTCTCTGCCACGGCCACACACACCCAATCGAAATCTGCGTGCGTGTGTGTGTGTGCTTTGTTATGTTTCCTGCGCACAAAAGTATGCAACGGCATTGAAAACGTGCAGGCGAACAACCCGAAGGCAAACAAATGAAAATATGCTTAAACAAAATGATCGACTCAACAATGCCCTGAAATCATTAAATGAATCAACTAAAATCGAATTAAGTTTCGGTAGCAATGAGGCGAAAAATGATGAAAAGTACTTACAAAATGTTCAGCACTTGTTTTTAAAGGGAGCCTCAAGCATCGAAGTCAGCTTGAGA